TTTTTTTTTTTTTTTTTTTTTTTTTTTCAGCCTCTTGTTCCACATCTGTAGTTGTCTCCTTGTGTGTGACATCAAGAGCTTGGGTGCTGGTGAGGAAGCTCCTGCGTGACTTCAGTCATTAGTGTACTGCAGGATGGTCGTACAGCAGGTGTCTTGCATCTTCAGTTTGTCTCGATTTTGTTCTGTCCTGGAAATTAATTCTTACTGGGGTCCTAACTCTTGTTTTCTTTTTTCTGTTCCCCCCACCCAGGTCTCGATTATCTTAGATTTAAGATTTCCATGGCATGAAAATCTGCAGATCATCTGGAGGAACAGACCTGGTTGTTTACAGTGACTGTTTTTTCAAAATGGTTGGAAAACTCAAACAGAACTTGTTACTGGCGTGTCTGGTGATCAGCTCGGTAACAGTGTTCTACCTGGGGCAACATGCTATGGAATGCCACCACAGAATAGAAGAACGCAGCCAGCCCGTAAGGATGGAAAGCGTGAGAACCACTATGAGAACTGGTTCTGATTTAAATACAAATAAAACCTTTGCTTACAACAAAGACATGCCTTTAATATTTATTGGAGGGGTGCCTCGAAGTGGCACTACGTTGATGCGTGCCATGCTAGATGCTCACCCGGATATCCGCTGTGGGGAAGAGACCAGGGTAATCCCACGAATCCTGGCGGTTAAACAGATGTGGGCTAGATCAAGCAAAGAGAAAATCCGACTGGATGAAGCTGGAGTCACAGATGAAGTTCTGGACTCAGCTATGCAAGCCTTTTTGTTGGAAATCATCGTGAAACATGGAGAGCCTGCACCTTATCTGTGTAACAAGGATCCTTTTGCTCTAAAGTCCTTAACTTACCTTGCCAGAATTTTCCCCAATGCCAAGTTTCTTCTAATGGTACGGGATGGTCGTGCATCGGTGCATTCTATGATATCTAGAAAAGTCACCATAGCTGGGTTTGACCTCAACAGCTACAGGGACTGCTTAACTAAGTGGAACCGCGCTATAGAGACGATGTATAACCAGTGCATGGAGGTTGGTTTTGAAAGATGCATGCTGGTACATTATGAGCAACTTGTACTGCATCCTGAAAGGTGGATGAGAACTCTCTTAAAGTTTCTGCACATCCCATGGAACCAAGCAGTGCTGCATCATGAGGAAATGATTGGGAAAGCAGGTGGCGTGTCTCTCTCTAAGTAAGTATGAGTAGATCTGTAGAGGGTTTCAAGAAATGCACTTAGTTGTTTAGAGGCGAATTGCACCTTGATGGCTGTAGGCACAAGTTGCACTTTCTATAAAGTGATTTACTGCAAGTTTTACTCTGTATTAAAGAAAGGACCTGACCAGCTCTCTGCCAGACTAGCTGTCTGCGCTTGCAGCTCCTGGGTGGTAGGTCTTCATTGAGCAAACTGCTATCCTGGGATGAAACCGAGTACAAAAACCAGCAAATAACTGAGGCACTGGATATTTATCCCTCAAAAAGTGAGGAGGGACTTTACACAGATGTAAAGCTATGTCATGCATCTGCTCTACCTTTTTTTCTTTTTTTTTCAACTAAAGGAAACGAGTCCCTTTAGTCCATAGGAGAGGTGGTGTTGTGGGTCTTTACATGACACCAGTTGTAATTGCAGGCTTTAGAAACATAAGTACTGACAAATATCAGCCTTATTCTGCTGCTGTCTGCTTCTCACTACAGCCATATTAATGTTTTTTTATCTCTAAAACAAGCTTAAGATTCACCATTACCTTCCATTGATAACTTGGGAGGCTTTCTTGTTGTCAGAACAGAATTCCTGTAGACTTCTTAAAATTCAGTCAGATAGATGTTGGACCTGGACTAGGGCTCCTAAGCACTAAAAATACAAATAAAGCAGAGGCAAATTTGCAATAATCCACTATTATAAGGATACAGTGACAACACATCAGTAATATTTGCACAAATACTGACAGCAGTGCCTTTTTTGGTTGGTTTTTTTCCCCTCAGTTGTTTCAAGCAGATTAATACGCTAAATTAACATTTATCTTCTCCACTGAGTATAAACCTAAAGAACAGTGTAAACCAACAAACAAAAAATCTGTTTTGCTTATACTGATTAATGCTTCAGAACTATAAAGCTAACTGATTAGATGTTAAAAATTGAAAGCCAGCTATAACTAGCTATAAAAGTCCTCAGCTGGCTAAGCTAGTATTTACCTAGAGAGCAATTTTATTTATTTACTTATTTATTAAGACTTAAATACAGCTACATGTGGTTGATAGAGAAGACCAGTGAGGTGTCAGCCTACTGCTATAGAAACTATTACCTTTATAAAATCAAGGGAAAACATAATGGCATGGAACATTTCCTTCTGAGCTACAATATGTTTGGATTATATAAGAGTCATTAATAATATTGGGGTAATTCCTAAAAGAGATTGGACTTTATTGAGCTGTATGTTTATACAAACATACTAAATGAGGGACACTGCCCTAAAGGAGCTTGCATCCTAAACGTCTGGACAAAGCTGCTAAATGTGCACAGAACCTCTTTTCTTTTCCAAAATAGTATAAAAAGAAAAGCTGTGTTGGTCCATCTGGCATCTGGGAGGTAGGAACAGAGAGGTTTGGGGGGGACTAGACTCCTGAAGATGGCTAACTTAACACCATTGCTTGCAGTTGTGGCTTGGAGTGACTGGTGTGTGAATGTGGATGTCCTTTTTGCAAATCCCTCCAGGATTCAGTCAATGAAGGAAACCAGTGCTGCCAAAAATAAGATAGAGAACTCTCCCAGCACAACACAGCTCATGATGGGAAGCGGGGATTGAGAGAGGAGGGTTTTCTTTTTTTCCTTTTTTTTTCTTATGATACTAGACTACTATGTAATGCTTGTATTGGAATATGTGGAAGCAACTGGATCTTTTAGGTCAATGACTCCATCTGATATTACTATAATATATCTTTCTGAGTCGACAGGAACTTGTATGAGTCTCACAGCCTTGCAGGCCCTTTAAAATGTTGGCTTTTCTCGGCTGCCGGCTGTGCAGCTACAGTCTTCAGAATATAGACTCTGTCAGCAGTTTCTAACCAATTAATCCTTCAGTAAAGGCAGTTGTGTTTTCTGATGCAACACAGTTGAGCTTTTAAATCAGGAACTCCTAAAAATGTAGCAGTAATCGCAAGTGTTGTGCTTAGAAGTTTAAGTTACTCTGAAACTTCAGTTGTGTAGTTTTCTTAAGTATTAATTTTGCCATTTAAAAAAAACCCCCAAAACAAACTTTAAAACAGCAAAACCTTAATGTTCCATATCCTAGCTACCTATGAGATGTGAGTAATATCTAGTATTACTGAGACATCTCCCCTTCCCCTTCATAGCAGAGTGTTTGTGGGTGGTGCTATGAGGTTTCTTTTTTCCTACAGAAATGTGATTGTTGGTTTATTTGCCATGCTTATTGACCATGTTGGGACAGTTAATGTAGCAAAATAGTACTAATCTACAACTTCCAGGTTACTGTTTTTGTGGTGCTTAGATTCCTGGATGCAGAATGACCTTATCTAGTATACATAGTTGTAGATGATCTGTGGTGGGTTAACGGGAGGGAGAAAGAGGGACAGGCCTTAAATTTCAGAGTAGAAAAAAATTACTGTTAAACATTTTTTAAAAACATGAAACTTTTCTTGTTGTGCAGCTATTTCATGTCTAACATGCAGCGACTACATTTTCTCATAGCAGTAAAGGGGTAGTTTAGAGAGAATGTGTTTAGTATTCTAAGATTTGGGCCTAACATTTGAAAAATAAATTTCACTTCACTTTCATCAAGGACTATGTGTCTGTTGGGTAGGATGTTGCCTTTTTATTAGTCTCACAGGGCGTCTATATACATGCTCCAGGGTGAAGGATGGGGCACTTTAATCGGAGCGGCTGTGGGAGCTCATTTAACAATCTTTAGTTAAAGTGTCCCTGCTGCCAGTTGGAAATGCGGGGACACTGAATACACGACACGGAGGCTGCTGGATCATGCTCATTGGCATCAATTAATTATTTTACTTCAATTATTTAATTTTATCTAATTATTTAATTAATTAACATTAATTAATAGATGAATCAAGCCTGCTCTGATGCGTGCCAATTAGCACATGTCAGAGCAGAGGTCCATCATGTGTATAGATGCCCTTAATCTTTAACCACCTTTGAATGAAACCAGTATAGGAATTTTTTTTATGCAGTTTCTGGCTCTGACTCTTTTTCCATCTCTGCACTCAACAAGTGCAGAGTGCTGCGCCTAGGGTGCAAAAATAGCCAGCATACCTACTGACTGGGAAGTGACCTTCTCAGCAGCACAGAAGCGGAAAGGGGATCTCGGAGTCATAGTGGACTCCAAGATGAACGTGAGTCGTCAGTGTGACGAAATCATCAGCAAAGCTAACCGCACTTTATCATGCATCAGCAGATGCATGACAAATAGATCCAAGGAGGTGATACTTCCCCTCTATGCAGCGTTGGTCAGACCGCACTTGGAATACTGTGTCCAGTTTTGGGCGCCGGACTTCAAGAAGGGTGTTGATAGACTTGAGAGGGTCCAGAGGAGGGCCACTCACATGGTTAGCGGGTTACAGGACTAGCCTTATGTGGAGAAACTGAGGGACCTGGACCTCTTCAGCCTCTGCAAGAGAGGTGATCTTGTGGCCGCCTACAAATTCATCAGGGGGGTCCAGCAATGGATTGGAGATGTTCTGTTCACGAGGGCACCTCTTGGGGTAACAAGGAACAACGGTCATAAACTGACAGAGAGCAGATTTAGGCTAGATATCAGGAAAAACATCTTCATGGGAAGGGTGGCCAAAATTTGGGATGGGCTTGGGACGTTAAGAGAAGGCTGGATAGGCTTCCGGCTGGGGTCGTCTGATTCCAGCACTCTTTCCTGCCTAGGCAGGGGGTTGGACTCAATGATCTATTGAGGTCTTTTCTGACCGTAGCATCTATGAATCTCATCATTGAATTCTTTGTTGTCAGTTCTTTTCCACATATTAGCCTGACCCCTTCAAAAGCATTTAATGTTCTTGGGAAGACTAAGATATCAATTCAAAATAGGCAGTGGTTTTAAAGAGTGTTTTTGGGGTTTTTTTGTTTTTTTTTCTTTTGTTCTATTTTTAATGATTGTTGCTCCTTTTCTGAGAGGGTCATGGGGGATAAACTCCAGGTCTGCTATACAGGAATATATGAGTTGTGCACATAAAGATGGCATTTATCTGAAATTATGCTGAAGAAAATTCATCAGCACTGAAGAAACTGTTATGAAGAGTAACGGACAGAAATGGCCATTCCTTAAGAAAATTTTAAGCAAGATGTAAAACGTGTATCGTTTTAGGCTGACTATTAAGTAGCACTTCTTTCAGCTTAGTTCAAGCCAACAGATCTACTTAAATTACCCCCCAAAACGCAAACTTTCTTCAGCATTAGAATTTGGGGGGAATCGTCTGTCTGATTGCAGCATTCTACCTGGAGCATGAGCGTGCGACTCGGCCTTCCACCTGGCCATGGCCATTCTCAGATTTCACTAGTGGTTGAAGAGAGCAAGCTTCTGCTCCAATTGGATCTGTCTTCACAACACTGGTAATTCATCCCATCTGTAGTCCCTTGATCTGATAGCATGGATGTTTGTGTGTAAGTACCATGGACAGGGACTGCTGTAGGCAAGGCCAGGAGATTCTTCTGCAACACAGAAGACAGGTACCCCAAAAAAACCTTTTATATCTAAATGGCGAAAGTTTTCTATAGGTGGTTCTAGCAGGGACCCAACCAAGCCCCATACTTACCAGGGCGGCAACCACCAGTGTGCTCCGCAGGTGGCAGGAAAGCAGTGAGCCCGCAAAATGATGGGGAGCTCTGCCGCTTCCCTGTCCACAGGGTGCAAAAAGTGGCCATCAGGGAGTGGGCTCACAGCTGGCTCCTTTCCCAGGCTGGAGAAGAGTTGGAGCCTTGGCTCTGCGCAAGCACAGAGCCCAGCCAGCAAAGCGGGCAGGTGGCAAGAACGGACTGTGCCACCTAGGGCCTGAGAGCCACAGGTGGAAGTGCTAATAAGCCCCTCTGGGGCTCTTAATGCCTGTCAGCAGGCACGGGGCACATGGGGGCAGGCAGGGATCCAAGTTGGCCTGGGCCAACCCAGAGCTTCCAGTACGAAAGAGTGCCAGCCCCAGAGGAGCAGAGAATACTGGTAC